TTCAACGTTGTGTTTCCTTCCGATGCAAGAAACTTTAGACAAAGTTTACAACGCGCCCTCCTCGAGCCATTTGACATCTCACATAAATCGTAGTGATCCCAAATGTCTTTGTTTCGAGTGTGTTCGATCACTCTCACGACTTCAAGGTTTCCCCCGACGGAAGATTCAACCGTGTTACTCATGATGAACAAAAAATTATAAAAGTAAGATTTGAGAGATGTTTAAGTGTTGTGTAATAAGATTTGAGGAATTTGTAATCAACCAAATACATCCCCAACCTATTTATACATGTTTAGGGTGGTAAAATGGTAATTTTTTAAAGAAAAAAATGGTCAAAAACGGTCACAAAACCCCCCAACGGCTATATTAACGGCTAGTTTTTTAAACCCAGACCGGTTTTTTTTTCGGATAAAAACCGGTTTTTTAACCGGTTTTTTTCAAACCGGTTTTTTATCCGGTAAAAAAACCGGTCTAGGTTTTTTCTCCAAACCGGTTAAAATAACCGGTTTAAAAAAATCCGATCCGGTTAAAAAAAAACCGGTTTTTCCCAAAACCGGTTTCAGATATTTTTTTCGGATATTCGGATATTCGGATTTTTTGTGCACCCCTAATGTGGCCTAATGTTTTCCTAGGTCGAAGGGGGTAAGACCCTTATTTTACTAAATAGTATGTAGGGTACAAATATAGGAAGGTGGATTAGTATATTAACAGAAATCTTTTGGGTTTCAATGAAGATGAGAAAGCAAAAGCAATACACAGGTTTCGTTTATCCTTTCTCTTGGCACAATTTTGGCCATTATTTCAAAGCAAAAGATTTTCCGATAAGAAATTGAGAGGATTACCATCTTTATTTTTATGTATAAAAATAAATCATTTAATGAATGTAAAAATGAGAGAAATATTAATTGATTCACAAATTTTTTTATATTTTTTTATTAAGTACACAAACAGGAAGAAAAAAAATATTTATCAACTTTTTATTCGTTTAATTTTCTCTAATCGTGGATAATGGTTTCTATTATATATTTTCTCTAAATATTGCTTAAATTATTTTCATTGGTTATTTACTTTGAAATTTACGAATTTTTTATTTGAAATTAATAAAAATATAAATATATTATGATTTTAAATAATATTAATACATTACTATTAATAAAAGATATTTTAAATTTTTAAAAGTTGTCTTACCTTTTCAAAAGGGAACATTATTGGATCCAAGATTCTCATTGTACCCACGATCGCTAACCACGAACGTGCTATTTAATGTTAGCTAACGCTAGCCAAACGGGTCTCCTTTAGCCTCAAGCATCTAATCTACGGTGTTACTCGACCTTTGAATATAGAACAAAACATAAATAAAATTTAAACTCACATTGAAATTCTTAATTAAACAAATAATAGATAATTATTATCTTAAGATACCAAACACTACATTAATATCAAGTCTTTGGACAGTAATATTAACAATAAACGAGACTCTTGTTATAGTAATCAAACATTGACAAAAAGCTTGTTCAACAATACACTAATCTTTGGATTAATGTTATGTTCATATAAAATACCTTATAATTACCACATATTATTACCACATGTGTCCCTTGGAATCCGATCAAATATTAATTTTCCTTTGGGGCAATTAATAAACGCATGAATTACAAGAAACACATAATCATCTTGATATTTTAAATAAATCAATCTACAAAAAAGATGTCAATTTAACGAGATTTTGTTTCAATTAATATATCAAAATATTAGATCTAGCCAAAATATGAATTACTTTGTTTAAGTACATATATTCTAATAACCAACAACCAAAACTGAAATTTTGATCAAACTGAATTGAATATTTACATATATTGCATTAACAATATAAATAAAATCATATAAATATTATCAACCAATCAATTTCTATTAATTTTATCTCTCAATTAAATTAAAAGATAATCATAATAGTCATAATTATTTTTAAAATTTAATAATTTTAACACATTAAATTTTAAAAACAATTATGACTATAATAATAATAAATTTAAATACACCTAAACCTCGACTCAAGATATTAGATATTTCATTAATATTTTATCTTTAGACAAAATATTCACCTTAAGTGATATCTGGTGCGATAACCAAACATTGATAATAAAAACATGTCAAGCAAAAATCTTCCTTTGGGCTGATTTATTACTCACACATCAAACCGAATAATTATCATATGTTTATTAATAAAGTTGTACATGCGATTATGTCAACTATTAATCTTCCTTTAGAATTATTAATACTAAAACATCCTAAGTTAAATGTACATATAAAATAAAACATTTTCCATAACTGATATCACTTTAACGACTTATTGCTTTAATTAAGTGATCTCAAAAATAAATATCGATATTTAAATTTAATATTTCTATAACAATGAAAGATCAAAACTGAAATTTTTAATTGGACTACACTCTCCAAGAGAACCTAAAACAAGGTTACATAAATGGTGCTATAAAAACGAAAACTTAAATCTTTGATTGTTTCTGAAAAGTTCCTTAAAAATGCATTTTCTTCGTAACTTCCTAATTTACCAAATCTGAATTCAAAACAATCAACATTTAACCAAAAGTCAAAATTAAAGTACATATTAATGAATAAAATCTTTAATCAAACTAAATCGAATATATCAATGTCAAATATATATTATATAATCCATAGCAGTCAAAAACAAAAAAAATAAATTTTCTAATCACGTCATGGTTTTCGAAGTAACCCATAATAAGGTTGTCTAAATGACATTATTAGAAACCGAAAACCAATATCTTTGATTGTTTCTCAAAAGAATCTTTAAACATGTTTTCAAAAAAAATATTATGTAAAACTTTAAGAAAAGAAAAATCAAACTAAATGCATCATAATCTCCAGAATTTAATCAAATACTTAGTTGCATGTACTTTTTAAAAAAATAAAGATCATGTTTATATTCCATATCAGCTATAATTTAGAAGATCTCAGTAGTTTATTCAAAAGCAAAATAACTAAATTAATAGTCCAACTAAAAACTTTGAATTCATATCGAAAAGGATTACTCGTTCGTTATTTCCTTCGAAGTTAGGCTAACACTTTTCCGTACACTAAAGTAAACATTTAACATAAAATCAAGGAAATTACCCAATTTTAAGACAAAAATCATCACAAATCATCAAGTAAAGATGCAATAAGAATTACCAACTTTGAAAACAAATACCATGATTGCCGATTACTGGAAACGAAAAGCAAAGCAGAAATAATATATAGCCAGGTAGTAATATTATATAATAATGGATTTTTTCATTATCATTATTTTACTAAATTAATCCATATTTGAGTATTCATTATCGAATGATTGAGAGTCTTTAAAACAAATACTATCACTTATAACCACTCTAGTATAATAAAAAATATTTAGATTTTCTATATTTTTTATGAAAAAATTATAATTTTGTAAGTAATTTAGAAATATTTTTCATTAATATGTCACATCATCATCAAATTAATTAGAACTAACATAGTAACATATTAATAAATAAAATATAACATATCAATAATATAAGTGATTAAAACAAAATATTTTAAAACTAATGATAAAAAAATTAGAAAACTAAAATAAAAGTGATCAGTTTTGTAGTTTAACCTTTATATTTTTATATGTTTATGAGTAATCTTGTAAAAGAGGCGGTGCCAAAGTTGGTGTAGTGCAGGTGGCGCCGCCATCATTGGCAGCCTTATTTGCAACGTGACTTTACGTTTCGCAAATCAACAAATTCTAATTTCACCTCCCAAAATTTAAGCACATTGATCATTTGTTTCTTTCTCTTCCGTTATCAAAATACTTCCAACAAAATGTCGTTTTTACACAAGTTGTCCAAGGCTTCTGCAGTCTCCAGAGCCGCCTTATTCGCCGCCTGAGCAACGTACCTGAAAACACTGTCTACGGCGGTCCAAAACCTCAAACGCCCAACCAGAGAATAACCCTTAACCAGCTGAAGCAAAAATACAAGAAAGGCGAGCCCATCGCCGTTGTTACAGCCTATGACTACCCATCGGCGGTCCACCTCGATACCGTTGGGATCGTTATTTGCCTGGTCGGAGACTCTGCTTCCATGGTCGTTCACGGCAATGACACCACTCTCCCTATCTCACTCGACGAAATGCTAGTCCATTGCTGTTCAGTCGCTCGTAGTGCCACATGGCCATTACTCGTTGGTGACTTGCCATTTGGGACCTATGAGACTAGCAGCAGTCAGGTATGTACCTCCATGAACCAAAACAATTCCCTTGTGCACCGCATTATATTAGTTGGTATTGATGAAGAAGCATTGCTTGAATGATTTCTCTTACATTTTAAGGGCAAATATCGATGATGAAACATTGCTTGGATGAATATTGATCGTGATGTAATTGCCGTTTGGATTATGAACGAGTAGTTGATACGGTTGTTAGGGTCTTAAAGATGGATGCTATCAAATTGGAAGGAGGATTCCCTTTGAGGATCTCCGCTGCAAAAGCCATCGTCGAGGCTGGGATCGCGGTTATTGGACACATCGGACTTACTCCACTGGCAATTAGCGTACTCGACGGATTCCGTCCACAAGGCAAAAATGTTGCTAGTGCAGTCAAGGTATCTTTCATTGCCTCTTTTCATTTGGATAACCTTTTGATTATTTGTGTATGTTTATCTTGAGTTTGGTTTATGCAGGTTGTAGAGACTGCAATGGCTTTGCAGGAAGCCGATGTTTTTCGGTTGTTATGGAATGTGTTCTTCAAATTTCCCACAATTGGCATTGGAGCTGGGCCTTTTTGCAGTGGACATGTTAATTTTGTTCTATCATTATCTGTGCTTTGGTATAAAATTGCCTGCATAGAAACTTCTAGTAGTATACTATGGACTTCAAGGTTTTTCTTAGATATGAATCAATAGCTGAAATTCAACAATGAAAATAGAGTCATACTCATCAAGTTATGTGGTTCTGTTGTCATGCAGAAAAGCTTAGGTTTATGCAATATCAGGTTATTTCTGTAAATACGATATGCTCTCATAAATATCGTAGAGAAAAGCTTAGGTTTGCAGAAACTCAATATTAGAAAAGGATGAACCTCAAAACATCATTTTATTTCCACTAAAATATACAACAGAAGTACAGTAGCTTTATAGCTTACAAAAGCTGAAAACCTAGATGTTGTAATTGCGAGACTGATAAGCTAGCAAAGGAGGGAATTGGGCGATTTTAAGCTTTGTTCTAGTTGTTGTGTATGTTTTAGAATACAGGTGTAATATGAGTGTGTTTAAGTCTTATGTAACTGGTTTATCATTAATATAATGAGGTATTCTTTTCCTCTTTCCACTAGTCGGTACTTGCCTTACGGGTAAAGGACTACTATGAGGGAGGCTTTTAATGAGACCTCCTATTTTTATAAAAAAGGCTGAAAACTGTCACCTTAACAACCTAACTATTGGACTAACAACCTAACAACCTTAGGTTTAGCTTACATACAACTGAGAGCACCTTAGTTCACCATGCACGTTATCTTTCAACATTCTCGCTACTTATTCTCCTTACAGCAAACTCATGTTTACCCTTGCATGAAACGTGGTAAATGTTGTTTTGGTCAATGGTTTTGTTAGCCCATCTACAATTTGATGAACATCAGGAACATAGCTAACACATAACTGATTGGCAACAATTTTTCCCTTACAAAGTGAACATCTAAATCCGCATGCTTGGACTGAGCATGATAAACTGGATTTGCACTCAATGCAATCGCACTGATATTGTCGCACCAGATGATAGGCTTCTCATGTCGTTTCATACCCAAATCAGTTAAAAGTGCATCAACCCAAGCAACCTCTTTAGCTGCATCAGCTAGGCTTTGATATTCCGCCTCCATGGTTGACCTTGAGACAACCTTTTGCTTCTTAGTAGTCCATAACACCATGTTACCACCAACTATAACACAATGGCTTGACATGGATCGTCGATCATCAACACAACCACCCCTGTCAGCATCAGCAAAGGCCACTACACACATTGCTTCCTTGGATGGTGAAAACACCAATCCAAACTCCACAGTTCCTGCCAGGTAACGTAAGATGCGTTTGGCAGCCAACAAATGACACTCTCGAGGTTCATGCATGAATTGAGCTACCTTGCTCACATTGTAAATGATATCTGGTCTTGTATGGCAGATATATAACAATGCACCAACTATGCTTCGAAATTCTCGAGCATTTTCTAGCAGTTCACTTTCATCACTACAGAGCTTGTTATTGAAAACCATAGGGGTGGCAGTTGGTGTAGCCTTTAACATGCATGTCTTTTCCAATAACTCTAAAATTAACTTCTTCTGATTGAGAACCAAGGAATCACCATATCGATGAACCTCAATTCCAAAAAAATATTGTAAGTCACCAAGATCTTTTAAGGAAAAATTATCGCAAAGTGAATGAACCTCTCATTCAATCTCAACAACAGATTACCCTGTAACAAGAATGTTATCTACATAGACAAGTACATATGTAGAGACTCTTTGAGCATGAGAAATAAACAGCGAGACATCAGCTTTCGATGAGCGAAATCCTATCTACACAAGGCTATCCTTCAGCTTAGTATGCCAATTCTTTGGTGCTTGACGCAGCCCGTAAAGAGCCTTCTGGAGTTTGCAAACAAGCTTGGTGTCATATGCAACAAATTGTTCGAACCCAGGTGGTTGCTGCATGAAGACATCCTCTTTTAAGTTACCATGTAAGAAGGCATTGTTAACATCTACATGCCTCAGAGACCACTTGTTTGTGATAGCAAGAGACAAAACTACATTCAAAGTTGGAAATTTGACCACCGGACCGAAGGTTTCTTTAAAATATTGTCCGGACACTTGTGAAAAACCCTTTACAACAGGATGAGCTTTGTAACGATTAACCGTACCATCAGGATTTTGCTTTAACTTGAATAATCATTTGCAACCAACTGTTGTTCGTCCAGCTGGCAGTGACATCAACGACCACGTACCATTTCGTTGTAGAGCTGCTAATTCATTTTGAACAGCAGCTGCCCAGTTACTAGATTTCATGGCCTGATGAATATCAGTAGGTATAGTCGTGTCGAATTCACTAACAAACACTCTCGGCTTGAAGATACCACACTTACTTCGTGTAAGCATGGGATGATTATTAGTGACAGGTAAATTTTCACTAAACTCTTCAACTGAAGCTTCACCAACAGACTGAGCAGCTTCATTGTTCGCACCACTGATAATTGGATCAACATTCGAGAAGGAAACATCAACAGACAGAGAAGGAATGCCTATATTATTGCCCAAGTTAGGATCTGCCATCAAAGAATCATGACCATCATCACCCAACACAATATCTACATGTGAGGTGGCACTAGTAGTTGCATGTGACAATATTACTACTTGAGGACACATATTGTGGTGCTCAGCAACAATCTCAAGTGTTGCTGACTGAGAAGAGAGCTGAGCACGATAACCTGCAGTTGGCTTTGTCTCTATAAAAGGAAAAACAAATTCATCAAACTTAACATGTCTGCTAATAAATACATGTCCAGTGGGGTCGTGGCACTGAAATCCTCGATGTTGAGGACTGTAACCCAAAAACGTGCACACTTGAGACCGGAGTATCAACTTGTGTGGTTGAAACACTCGAAGATACGGGAAACACCTGCAACCAAACACGCACAGGACCTTGTAGTATGGTTTCTTTGCAAACAACTTCTCAAATAGAGAAATATTACCTAGCACCTTGGTTGGCAACCTGTTCACTAGATGAGCAGCAGTAGCTATTGCAATGATCGAAAATGAATTGTAAGAGAGGCTTGAGCTAACAACACTAGTGCTAACTCGATTAAATATCGGTGCTTACGCTCAACAATCCCATTCTACTCATAAGTATGAGGGTAAGTGGCCCTATGCAAAACACTTTCCTGAGCTAACTGATTCGAGTAGTTTATGTACTCCCCCCAGTCACTTTGCACTGCTTTGATGGATAAGGAAAATTAAGTCTTAACCATAATTTGAAATAGGCGAAATGCAACAATTGCATGTGATTCGTCCTTCAAGAAATACACCCATGTATGTCTAGTACACGTATCCACAAAAGAAATATAGTATCGATACCCAGCAGAGAGCTCAGTTGAAGGCCCCCAAAGATCAGTAAACACAAGTTGAAAAGGCACATCATAGACTGTGGCAGACTCAATAAAGGATAACTTGTGACTTTTACCCAAACAACAAGCAACACAAGTATGATTTGCATTATCTGAAATGGTAACAACAATGGTCTTACAAATAGATTTTAAAGTAGAAAAAATTGGATGTCCTAATCTTCTATGCCACAAATCAAGGGCATTACAAGAGGCATCAGCCAAAAGAACCTCTAGTTTATTACAATTACTAGAACTATTATCCAATGCAAATGTATAAAGACCACCTTGCTGATTTCCTTGAAGCAGAAGCTTGTCCGTCACCTCATCATGAATGCAACACCCATCAGCATGAAACTCGAAAAATATGTGATTATCCCTAGCAAGTTTTGACACCGAAAGAATATGTTTATTGATTTGAGGCACATGTAACAACTCTGTAAGTAACAAAGCTCGCGAGGATGATGAAGAGAACAACAAAGATTTACCAACCATATTTACATTAAGAGAAACTCCATTCTCAACCAAAAGATTACCTGGACCATCTAGATCAGTAGTGTGAGCGATATTGGAAGCATCAGGAGTCACATGATGTGTAGCACCCGAATCAACAACCCACTGAGCACGAGGAGACGAGACCATATTAGCCTGAGACACACCACCAGCTTGCATCGAGACAGCACCATGCTTGCTGGCACAGCACACACAACCAACATTGTCAAGACTCACATAGTTAACACTACTCGACCTGCGACACAGGACTGCCACACGACGCAAGAGCATCACACACCTTCTTTATTCGAGTGAGATACACACACATCGAATCGTCACCTTTTCTCAATGACTGAAGCTTATAGTGCAAATTCATGACCGTTGTCGTAGACCTGTTGGCAAAGAACTGCACAACAGTGCGCCAAACAGTCGTTGCAGACTCAGCACCAACAAACTGATGTAGAAGAAGAGCACTAATCGTTGACAGAAGCCATAAGGCAAGAGCACTATCTTGTGCCATGAAATCTTCAAATGCTTCATTAACAACAGATGTTCCATTCTTATCAACGATAAACTTAGGTGGAACTAACATCGTGCCATTGAGAAGCCTTTCGAGACAGTGACTACAAACCGTGAGAAGGATCTGCTGCTTCCAGAGGAGAAAGTTCGTCTCTTCCAAGACAACATTTACTTTCTTATTTGTAAACATGACGAACGACGAGAACGACGCAGAGCACAACACATCAGAAAGCACAACAAAGAAAATGCCCAGAATGGTTGGCAAAAGATACCATATTAGAAACTCAAGGATGAACCTATATCATTTTATTTCCACTGAAATATACAACAAAAGTACAATAGCTTTATAGCTTACAAAGGCTGAAAACCGTCACCTTAACAATCTAACTACTGGACTAACAACCTAACAAACATAGGTTTAGCTTATATATAACTGAGAGCACAATATTTACGTGCACCTTAGCTCACCATGCACGTTATCTTTCAACACTCAACATCACTTCCTCCACATTAATTAAAAAGGTTTCTTATAAGCTATGTTGCTCTGACTATTCATTTTTCTTATCCGACACTCGTGTCCTACACATATCTAGCTATGGGTATGTGGATATAACCCCTCTCGCATTGAAAAACTTTGGAAGAGTTGAATATACGTATTTTATTCTAAGTTCGAGTAATATAGTTGTAGAATATCAGCGATGCTTGTTCATTATCTGTAATGATATTTGTTTTGAAGAGACTAAAAAAAGCTTTATTTTAATGTCATGAAGCTATGTGATCATGTTCCTTCACTTTTGATCTTTCATTTATTTGCTTCACAAGAAAGAGATGGTAGCATTTCCGTTGCGTGTTTGAATAATAATTGCCATTAATTTTGATAAGACCATTGATACATGTTCTCGTTTACCATGATCTACTCGGAATGCTACAACACCCGCATCATACAAAGGTTAACCGAACTATTGCCAGTTCCGGATAGCAGATTCTTTCCTTTCGTATAAAAATAAATGTTATCTAAAATGTTTGCCCCACATCCTGCAGGTTACTCCGAAGTTCTGCAAGCAGTATGCACGAGTTGGAGACGTCATCAATAAAGCTCTCTAGGAATACAAGGAAGTAAAAAATGGTCATTCCCACACCCCATACAAAATGAATCCCAAAAACGCTGAGGCTTTCACAAAGGAGTTGCAAAAGTTGGGTTCAGACGACGCAACATCTGTGGCAACCGAAGTAGCATCTGCGGCAACCGAAGCAGCTGCTGAGCCTGAGAAGACGAACACGGAGCAATGACCCTGTGCCTACGGTCTCGAAGCAACTAAAATAAGACTAGGATTTTTCAGCTGACTTTAATCAAATTCATCAAGGAGAAAATAATGCCATTGCAGTTTTTGTTTCACAGTCTCCACACCACATGAATGTCTTCTCTCTTTACTTTTTGTTTCCTTTGATCGGGCAATTTGTGCCCATATGGTAAGGGATTTTACAACAATAACAACAATAAAACTCTATTCCCATATGCAATGGGGTAAGGGGGAGGTAGGGTAGTAGGCTACCCCCAACGCCATGTTGAGAGCAGCTTCCGTGGAAGACCTCCGGCATTCAGAAAATTAAAAAATAAAGATAAAATACAATGCATGTATAAATAAATACATAGTTGAACAGTCTTTATATGCAATCTACATATGCGCGTCTGTAATGGGAAGTAATCCCTGCAAATAAATCTCTGCGTAAAAATCTTTGCATATAGAGAGAAAAGTAAGTCCGGGCTAAGTAAGGGGTTTTAGATTGGTATAAATTTTGATAAAATAACACAATACATTTTATATGTATTATATAAATGTTTTGATGATCCAAATTTAAAATTTTTAATTTTGTTATTTAATTTTAAAAATGATCATTCGATAATTAATTCTATAATATTATTTAAATTTTTAAGTAAACTTGTGCAAGAAAAATAACTTTGGGATTTTTTTCTCTCAACGTCAACTTTTTGGACTCTCTTTGATTTATTGAAGTCAAAATATTTTCTTCCAAATCCAAATATTGATAGTGAAAGTTGTAGAACAAACTTCTACAAACTAAGATATTAAAATTCTGATTCAAGTTTTATTGATTTCAAGAAAAAACAAACTAAGATGATAAAAAGGAGAAAAGATAAAATTTTAGAATTAGTTATGTTACAAATAATGGCCAACAACAGTCTAACAACTTTGGCTGAGATATTAGACTAATTTCATAAATAAAACTTTCCAAAACTCTGTTTTACTACTGTTATTATACTACTAATAATCGGATGATAAAAAACGAAATTAGATGATAAGTTTGAAAACTTTTCAAGTTGAATGATAACACGTTACTTTGAGTGACTAAATGTGTAGTTTACCAAAAAATAACACAATACACTCAATGCATTAAATGAAACCAATTATAGATTTTCAAATGCTTTCACTTAAAATGCAAATAAATTCCTAACAAAAATCAGCTGCATGGGCAAAAAAAGAAAAGAAAAAAAAGTCCGATAATAGTTTGATTGAACCATTTGCTCAGTTGGGCAAAATACGTTTCACCAAGTCAAAAGCCATGTGAAAAACTCACTTTAAACTAAACATGTTCCTACTTCCTATTTCCATTGAATTCCATGATTTATGACTTCTAGATGAAAATGAAAAAAGAAATGGACATCCCACAAACCTCTGATACCACAGGTGTCGGTCGGGTGATTTCGTAGTTCCTACGGCTCGGACTCTTATCACTGAGTGGGTGTACCTTGGAATGAGGCACTCCCCAATTGAGCACCATGCTTCTGAATAATCTAGACCGATTGCAGAAGAATATCTTGTTGTGCAGAGTACAATTCATCTTTGCTCTATAATTGCATGTCAAACATCAATGGGGATATCAGTGATGCCATTGAAAACACAAGTGAGACCTGAACTGATGAATTTTAGAAAAGATGCTGCCGAGCACCAGACATTCCCGACAAAAATCAAAGATCAAAATAAGTCAAGGAACATTTTCACATCTGTTTTATGTAGTGGGATTAGGAACGAAAAGGGAGATGGCCAAAGGCAAAGATTACCTTATCCATATCCTCCCCGCTCTTTGCATATATGTTTAAACCACTTGCCTCCAAGGACATCGATTACATCCATAGCTACTTCACCCCTATCTTTTGCTATTTAGTTTTAATTTAATATTGTAAATTTGTAATAGTATATATGATAAACTAAAATATAAAAGGGGTACATGAATTATTTTAGGGGTAGAAAAGAAATTTTGAAAGGCAAGTGGTGTAACACCCCTAACCCGTATCCGACCCAGATACGAATTCGAAGTGTCATATTGTTTTTTTAAAGCGTTTACTTTTTCAAGATAGTTGAAAATCATCTTTCATTAAAATAAAATGTAAATACTTTACATAATTACAACCAAAAAGGTTTACAAAACCGATCAAAGCATATTTAATTTAAGCCTTTATTTACATACCAACAAAATAACATATAACAAAAGTAACTACTGCTTAAATTAATTCTGATATGATCTTCAGTCGATAAATATTGTCTTGCCCGCTTGTCCTAACTTGGATCTCCTTGTTTCTTTGAACCTACGTGTGAAACACTCACACGCTAAGTCATGTGAAGCATTAATACAATAATGAAATCATGAAACATGCAATACTATAATATCATAGTGTAATAAAAATCATCATATATCTACTTAACAAGAATATACATGAATACGCATTTAATAAATAATAACCTATCACATGATTCAATGTTATTTCATGTTATATCTTTTCTTAGCCCTTGGTACATTACTGAAAACTTAAGATATGTAAGTGCATTGAGGTTGTGCACCAATGCTGTCACCACAGCTCGTATAAAATGCACCGAAGTGCCGCCTAGAAATTTGAACCGAAGTGACACATAGAATGTCCCGAAAGACCACATATATGTCCCGAAGGACTGAGTAGAAATGTCCAAAATACCATATAGAATTGTCCCGAAGGACCGCGTAGAACCCTCGACTCTTGGCATCAATTATACCCTCAACTCTCATATCATATACTATGGGCTTTACCATTTACATCATATCTTATAACTTATTTCACATAGTCAAGTAATCATATAGGTCATGTCTCATAGCTTATACCATTAATTCATATAAACGCATAGATCCTATCACATAGCTTATATCTTATACTCATTTATCCACATAGTTCATATAACACCTAGACTAACATACAATACATAACTTATGTATAACATTGAAAGTAACATATATAAATATGCATGTAATGAAATACGCATAGAAACCATATTAATCACATTTTAGTATTCATGCAATCATGAAAACAAAACATGATAAACAGACTCATCGCGAGTCTAGTTTCCATATAATTATATGTCATAGTAATATGCACTCACCTTAGCCTCACTTAGTTCAATCAAATCATATAACTTTTTCTCTCTCTTGATCGATCTTAACTCGTTGACTGTTTCAGAACTTGCTTATGTTTGATATCTACACAAATATACATCCGATACGAATATCAGAATTCTAAGCATTATGAATTGATCATTAATAACCTAAGCTAAAAGATGTACTTAATTCAAATTTTCACTTTAAATAGTATCGATACCCAAGGTACAATACCAATACTTCCTTACTGTGGTATCGATACTATACTTCAATATCGATACCCTTTTTCGATTCTGGAATTCCATCTCTAAAAATGGTATCGATACTTGCATAATGGTATTGGTACCCTGGGTATCGATGCTACCCCTTTAGTATCGATGCTCCATGAATAATTTACCAACTTTTAGCTTATGGTATCGATATTGTTCATCCAGTATCGATACCCTAACCCAATATTTCATATTTTTACTTTGAAGTATCGGTACTGTACCTTGGGTACTGATATTATTCAAAGTGAAAATTTGAATTAAGTAATTCTTTTAGTTTAGGTTATTAATGATCGATTTATAATGCTTAGAATTCTGATATTCGTATCGAATGTATATTTGTGTAGATATCAAACATAAGTAAGTTTCAGAACAGTCGACGTGTTAAGATCGATCAAGAGAGAGATAAAGAGTTATAGGAGTTGATTGGACTAAGTGAGGATAAGGTGAGTACATATTACTATGACATATAATTATATGGAAACTGGACTCGCGATGAGTTTGTTTATCATGTTTTGCTTTCATGATTGCATGAATACTAAAATTTGATTAATACGGTTTCTATGTGTATTTGAGTACATGCATATTTATATATTTTACTTGCAATGTTATACATGAGTTATGTATTATATGTTAGTCTATGTGTTATATAAACTATGTGGATAAATGAGTATAAGATATAAGTTATGTGATAGGATCTATGTATTTATATGAATTAATGGTCTAAGCTATGAGACATGACCTATGTGATTAATTGACTATGTGAAATAAGTTATAAGATGCGATGTAAGTGGTAAAGCCCATAGTATATGATATGAGAGCTGATGGTATAATTGACATGCCAAGAGTTGAGGGTTCTACGAAGTCCTTCGGGACAATTCTACCTGGTCCTTCGGAGTATTTCTACGCGGTCCTTCGGGACATTTCTATGCGGTCCTTCGGGACATATATGTGGTCCTCCGGGACA